AAGGGGAATTGCTCTACCCACAGTGTGCACACGCTAAAGATGTTCGCGTCCGCATTGTACAACGTGAAGTCCATGAACAGAGCACTCGTATTCCGATCCAGCCACTTGTTCTTATGTAAATATTCCAGTATCATTAGGCTTTTCATACGCGTGTCCGAGAGCAGGCATAGGTAGCCCATATTTTCCGGATACGTGATGAAATGGCCGTAGTGACTGAAGCCCATGAGTATGTCCCGAAAGTCGAAAACACTCGCCACCCAGGGTCGGTAGATGGGCCAGAACTTGTTCGTATATGGCACACGTACATATGGCAACTGCCAGCCCGCTAAATAGTCCCTCGACGTTAGAACCGGAGGCTGGAGACCCATGTGAGTGTCCTCCGTCCGCAGCTGCCTCAATCGTACCACGCCCAGCAATCTGACGGACTCGGCATGCACCCAGGGAGCCCCGCCAGCCGTGTTCTGCTTATCCGTGAAGGCCCGGATCAGCGATTGCTCTATGAACTTATATACATGCGGCAGCGTGGACAATTTCGATAGTCCGAGCGTATTTGTATGATTTTTCTTAAATAGATAGTTCACTGTGGCGGTGTTATAGTAGAGATTCTCATTAAATATGACCAAAATCATGCCGAGACATCCCAAAAACAGATTGCCCGTCAGAGAGAGTTCTTCCTTGATCAGGCGGTACTTCAGGTTAATCGCCTCATTTCGATGGCTTTCCGTGATCAACAGCTCACTCCGCAATGTCCGTAGTTTGAGTCTTAAGTTGTCGATCAATGTCTCAACCTTCACGTCTTCATCGAGCGTAACTGGAGCCTGCTGAGGAGGCCAACAGGCGGCATCCAGGGCCATGATCACGAATTTGATGGGCGTAAAAATCAGAAGCCGAATCAGCGTCACTGCCAAAAAAGCCACCAGGATCTTGTGAAACTTGCCCGGTTCATGATTGAAGCCCGAGAACTTCCAGATGCACACAATACATCCGGCTATTATCAAAAATGTCAAATAGAAAATCATGTTACTACTCTTTTTTGCCATTGTAACGTGGTTTATCCTCGTAATTTCCTTGGTTGTTATTTTAAAAAAGGTAATTCTTTGACAGTTCTTTTAAAAATACTTTGTTGACAACACAAAATGAGGCTCTTTATAGAAAGCTTTGTAAACGCTTGCTTTTGTAATCATTTATCAATATAATTTGTATTAACACTTTCTTTACTACTAGCTTTATAGTTAGCTACTAATTTCTCAGTCAAATCTGTTAAGGGAATATGGGAATTTTTTGAATATGTTAGTTCTTTATGATACCACCCTAATCATATTTCTTTTCAATAAATATCATTAAACACATTTTTATAATTTTAGTTGCCTAACAATAAGCTCTTGGCTAACTTTCAGTTTTTGGCTATGCCTGTTCCGTACATTTAATCTTTATGTACAACTTAAGAACTCTCGCCATGTCCTCGTTTTGCAGTTTGTTTTCTGCTTTTACCCGAAAATCCATGAAATATTCACCTCTCTAATCCCGCATCTGGTATTCCCAGGCAGCCTTAACTCGCTTTAATTTCACTTGCCTGCTGGTAGTTAGTTAACCTTGCATTTCTTTGTCCTTGTCGGGTGCAAGCCGTGTACAAATTATTGTGCTATCAGTGGCACTTCAATGGGCTCCCGGCAGTTGCCACTTAGGGCAGCCGACAAGTGCAGCAGATTCACAGCCTCCCCCACATTCCCACCCACTTTTTTCGCATTCCCTGGGCATTTTGCCACCGAGCTCTGAGCGCTGGGGCTCTGGCAATAAAATTCCTAAACCTTTTTTGACAAATGAAACGTGCAACAAACAAGACGCTCAAGTATGGCGGGGGGTCTTAGGTCTGAGGCCTCGGGAGCCACCACCCAGCATCCAGGATACCAAAACCAGGACCCCAGGACCTGAGACCCAGGAACGGGAATCTCGGAATGAGCCGAGCTGCAGTGCCAACAAAGATTTATGCATTTTACAGGGCAGACTACGCTTCATGCGAAACTAAACGGCAAACGGTTCGAGTGAGGAAAGCTTTCACTCTTTCACTTTACAGGTAAAGAAAACGGCATTGATAAGTACTTTTTGTCACATATTAAAATAATTTGTAAATTATTTATATTATTACCTTGGAAACATTTCGGCTTACCTCACTCTATAGCACAAACCAACTACACGTATTTGTTATCCTAGTCAAAGTTTGATGGAATCAAAGGTCCACAATACCGTTTTGTATACAATTCGATGTATAGTTTTAATATCATAGCTCCACTAAATCGTTCGTGTGTAAACAACCTTTAATCTACTAATATTCTTGTTATAAAAAAAATATTGATAAATTAAAACTTATAATGACAAATAATTAGTCAACTAGTTTAGCATGTTCCTTACAAAAAATATATTCAACACAGAGAAAAGATGGTAAAAACATTTTTAAAAGTATAGCAATACATTTTAAGTAAACCTAAGTTAAAATAAATTTACATAAAGCGTTTTACTTTTTAAAATAAACGGAAAGTATGCCTTGTTTGTGCACCTCAATCTTTCCTTGTTTTTTTTTTTTTCTGCAAAAACATTTGCCCAACATTTAATTTCTTTCTGTGCACCAACATTTTATCCCTGGGGGTAAGCGGAAATGAAGCATCACATGCCCCGTGCTTTCCTTGGATCCGGGCTTTCTGGGGGAGGAAGTCCATTGTGCCTCTTAATAGACTGAACTACACGGCATCCGACTCTGAGCGCCGGCATCCTGGCACTTTGTTTGCCGACAAACATTTGTGCAGCATATTAATATGCATGGCACCCGACTTCTCTTCTCCCGCCCCGGGATTAGCTGGAGGAGCAGGTGTGTCCGGGTGTGCCCCATTCAGGTGGCCCCCGCTCCATTTCCACCTTCATTTTTCAGCCACCCCGCCGATCGGAACATTTTATCTCCTAGGCCAAGCGCAAAAGTTTTAGCTGTTCTCGGTCCGTATCGAAAAGTCGTTAGTAAGCTGACCGCAGAAAGATGTGAGGCGAAAGTGCAGCGGCTCAGAGGAAACTTCCAGCCCAACTGGCCGCTCCTATTTCTTTTCAGTTGCAGTCCAAGTCGAAGTCTCAGTCGCAATCGGAGCAAAAAATGCCCAACTTCAACCTAAGACTTGCACTTAGCCCGCACAAAAGTTTTGCTGGCCATTGCAAAGTTTCATGACTGAGCCGGAGATGAAACTGAAGCTAGGGCTGAAACTGAATCCTTATTGTGCCGTAAGTAGATTTGTGGAACTGGGCATATGTCTCATTTCGGAAGTGAGGGAATTGCGGTACGACTGGCATAAGTAACCGCATAATAGGGTTAGTAAATATGCTAAATACTTTTTAGTTTAATTCATTATCTCTTTTCTAGTTTTACTGGCGAAATATTAAAAGTTTGTAAAAAAAAAAAATAATATTATTCCTTCTTTTATATCTGCATAAGTTTTATACTTTATAAAAGTTTCATATCCTAACAAAAATAAAATAACAGTAAAGCAATAAAATTTGTATTTTATTTTATTTTTTGTTACAAAATGTTTTACCTGTAAATTTTTAATTGATATATTTTTGGCAGTACCTTTTTATGTATTTTCGGACATGGAGTAATCTTAATAAGAAATGTCATGTAGACTTATGAACAAATTTTCATTTAAATATGTGGCTTTCCTTAGTCCTCACATCAGATTGACGGACTTCCTGGCTGCCATCATCCTTTTCCCGAGCGCCCATTCAAAGTCGGTGCCCACATGGCGTATACTTACTTCCGGCAGCACCCATTCACTCTCAGTTCACCATTAATCATCGAAGTAGAACAAGCTGAGCATATGCACTTATAGATTTGTCAGACACCCACGCTCACACACACACACACATACACACACTGGTTTTCCCGCAGCCGGAAAATCAAATTAAGATAAAATTAAATGCAACAACAAACAGGCGAGCTGAATGCAATTGGGGAATGCCCGACTTTGTGCATGGGGATTCGTTTATTTTTTGGCAAACACACAACATATGCGTCCCGTTGACAAATAAAGTTTACAGATATGCACACACACACGAAGAGCAGGGAAAACTGACACACAGAGATGTAGAGGAAAAGCGGAAAAGCGGAAGAGAGATGGCAACGCACACGAGTAAACAATGGCAAACAAGCGAATGAGCAGATGGTTAGGGCCGAAAGAAATGGGCGAGGTGGAAAACAACTCCCCAATGAAATAGTTTATGGTAAACCGCAATGCGAAAAATGTCACCTCCTGGCAAAAATGAGCAGGGCAAAGGGGAAATGTGGAAATGGCAATGGAAATGCCACCGAAGATGGAGTGGCGCATCCAACTGGCTAAACAAGTGCGGAAGTTGTTTGCGTTTGCCGCTGGCAAAGGCCAAGCGGAAGCGGCCTATTGGGCAATGGCAATGACGGCAGTCGACTGTCGCCACCGAGCGGAAATGAGCCAACTTGGCTGCCACATGGGGCGCAAAAGACGCCGCCTGACAATAACCAACCAAACTACTGGCAGTATTCTGGCTGGCGAACGACGAACTTGGAGCTCCGATCAGTGCCTCCACGCACTTTTGGCGGGGTCTTTGATAATTCTATTAAACGAGAACGCCAATGGTTTTAATATCAATAATAAAGGTGCCTCTAAAGTATGTAATGAAAAATTCATTGGAATTATGGATTCAAAATATATTATTTCATACTTTTAGACACCTTCACAAGTGCATTCAAAACCTTAGTGATTTCTGAGGCAATGTCAATATCTACACTTCTAAAATGTTGTAGTATTAAATTTTCTGTTATATATTTACCAATTCGTAAATTTCATTAACAATTTTATTACAAATTATGTTAAATTTTTCCTATAAGTCTTAGAACTTTGCATGGAAAATAATTCGAACTATAAAATATTTATATTCCAAGCTTTGATTTGAGATCTAAAAACCGCCAAATTTTTAAAACAAGTTATCCATAAGTTAACGATTAACCCAAAACGAGTTCAGGTATATTTATTCGGGCTATGCCTAACGACGGACTTAACTAGAGGATTGCGACTTGCTAGTGGGGCTTTTGCAGTCCCACTCCCTGAGATGTGTAGCACCTTAACGATTTTTCTATATCCACTAAATTCTGGTTTCTATGGCCCCCGCAGCGGTGGTTCCGTGAAGCCTGCATTGCGAGACTCGCAACGGTTGGCATCCGTTTCCGTGGGAACTACGTCCTTGGCCAAATCCAGAAGCTTATCCAAAGGACATTGGAACTCACAGCCGGGAACTGTGAGCTTTCGTGCCTGATCCTTGGGATCGTTGCGGAAGTAGATTTCCACCCAGTAGTCGCCGGTTTCCTTGTTTTTATGCAGCTCAAACAGAACCATCGACGAGTAGCGAGGCATCTGGCGTTCCCAGACTTTTAGGGCGGCAAGGACATTCACCACCGTGGAATCGTGACCTGTGTATATGAACAGTTTCCTGCCACTGGGCTTCAGGGTTCCATTCTTCTTCTGCTGCATTTCAGTGAACATTTTCTTGAGGAAGGGACCACCCTTGATCTTCTGCATCTCGGGTGTGTAGACATTGTAAACGTAACTCTGCTCGGCCAGAAATTGCAGTCTCTCCGGGAAATAGGAATGCGTCCATTCGGGCAATTCCAGACCCCACTCCTGTTCGGCGAGCAGTGTCAAGTACAGGGATTGCACATCCTCGGGCTCCTTGAAACTGAGGCCTGTGTGCTTTTCCAGCTCTTTGTACATTTCCAGGTAGGGTGCTATTTCCGCTTTGACTTCAGGTAACTCGTACACCTCATTCAGGGCCTCGAAATATCGCGGGCAGGGTGTTCGCACCAGTAGCAACTAAAATATAAGGTTGGTTAAATAAAAATTATTGTAACAATTTAAAAAAAAAAATTATAAATTATATTTATTTAAAGATCAGTGTTTTATATTGAAAACTTAAAAGTAATCAAAAGCACTACTATTACTTACAACAATTAATAATATAATAATAATAATTTGAAACAAAAATCATTTTAATTAAATTACTAATTATACAATTTGTTCATCCAATTAGTGATTTAACTGTCAAAAACTAAGATATTTGTTAAGCAAAATGAATTGCATATTTAATCAAAACACTAATCGATTTTAGCACCACCTGCCGCACACAAAAAAAAGGGATCGAATCGAACCGGCTATGTAGGCGAAGGTTTTGATTAATCATTTCGGTTATCAAGTATACGCACCGTATCCTCATTGAGCTCCTGGGAGAAGACAGGTATGGGCTGCCAATTAAAGCGGCTATTCCACTCCATGTCGGTTCCCTTTGGCGGAAAGAAGGCGGCCAAAACGGTCTGCATCGTCATGTGAGTCCGCGGAACACCCGTCGCTTGAGCGTGAACCAACTATCGCGGGGAAAGGCGAGGAAAAAAGCGGTGACGGAGAAAGCGGAGAAGGAGAAAGCGCAGAGCCAGAAGCCGAACCAGAAACAGAAACAGAAAGAGAGAAGAAGGAATTGAGTGATGAGCCAAGCGCGCTTGAGCTTTGCAATTTGTAAACGTCCGCACTATCAGGCAAACACCCTTCGGATGTGAAAATAAGGAAGTAAGGTTGGGGTACACAGAGAGAAATCTATTGGATAGCTGAATCATATTAGTCTCAGTTAAATTTGCTATTGGATAAAAACAAGTTTGTATTTTACAAATAATAAAGCTTGCAAAAGTTCCTAACAAAATAAAGTCTCACTTCTTAAGTAAATTATTCTATTCTATTCTATTAAATAAAAAGTAATTTTTATTTTTTGATTTAATAAAATAATTTTGTCATTCATTTTAATGTTGTTTTAACTTATCTGGTTCATAGTTCTTAATTGTCTTACTGATGGAAAGGCAAATATTAGAAGTGATTACGAACATTTAAATTAGCAAGTTCCAAAATGCTTCAACTTGCTATTTAAATTGTCTTTGAAATAAAAAATTCGAATCGAAAAAAATTGCTCTCTGTGTACGGGGGGTTGCTGTAAGGAGTTGTGCCTTGTCGGTTCGTTAGTGACTGCTTACTCACATCGGGACTGTAGTTGGGCGCCAGAAATTTGCCATAACGCTTACGCAGCCAAGTACCAATGTTGAACAGTTCGCGTTTGCCATTCTGGAGCGTTGATTTATTGCATGGTATGAGTGGATGGCACGTGAGACAACGCCAGCAGTACGGGGGATCCAAGGCACAGAGACGGAGAGATGGAGGAAAGTGTTATAAAATAATAAATGCCTTGCATTTTTGCAATTGCATAAACATATGCATGTGTATATGTTAATGCAGCCGGCCCCTGAGTTCTCATTCCCTCAGCTCTCCCAGCAAAACATTTGCATTTCAATTTATTTAAATGCTTTGCCGGGGGAGGGGGGATGAAATCGGGTTTCGGCGGGGATGACGAGGCAAAAGTTTGCGCTGCACAACTTTTTCTCCACTCACATTTGTTATTTGTCCCCAGCCAAAGGGATAGTAGGTCTCATTTACATAGGGATCCCTTGGATACGTATCCGCCGGCGTTCGTGGTCCATGTCGGAATACCTGAAGTTTAGCAATTACAATTTTTTATTAGTCAAACGGATTTACCACAGTATGCAAATATTACTATGTACTATATGTACTATACGGCGAGCAATCGAAAATCAGAGTCACTTTAATTAGCTGGCTGCTTTAGGGAAAATCTTCGCACGCGACAAATTTTCTAAGATTCATTCGCTCGTAAGACCTTAGATTCCCGCGAATGTTTTTCCTGTTTGATTGCTGATAAGATTTGTCTCATTTGAAGGTCAGCCCTGGGATCTAGATCGGAATGGACTATCGCTATAACTATATTTAATGACTGCGGTAAATGGGTTTCCAGTTAATCAATTGTGTGTGTGATCTGTGCTCAAACAAAAAGCAAAAGTGCGTCGCAGCTTTATTTGATAATTTGATTTTACGTTCGACTGCAGACAGGTTTTTCGGCAAACTGTAATTTGGTTAGCCGGTTTTTTTTGTTTTGGTTTTGTTTTCATTGCTGCTTTGTAATTAATTTTTTTTCTGTGGGTCTTTGGAAGACGAATGAGTTGGCGAGGGATATAAATCAAGTTAATTAAAGTAAGAGTTATTTTGGAATAATTAATAAATTATGCGAGTTTTTGTGGTTTTCGAACAGGTTGTTTTAAAATAATTTGTTAACTCATCAGCGAATTTAAATAAGAAAAGGCAGTTTAATTAATAATTAATGAAAATGTATTTTCATTTACTTTTTAATAAAATCACACACCACTGTTAGGTGAGATAACTTTTAAATTGAAACTATTGGCAAATATAATTGTGCATCACACAACAAAAAAAAAACAAGCAAAAAGAATAATTAAATAATTATGACGTTTTTGAATTAGATTTCGCCCAGGTTTCCATCCACTAACTCACTCATTTTCCAAGGTCAGCCCAAGCTTTTTATGACCAACTCGCCTTTAACTTCAATTCCAAAGAAATATATTATTTACAGCTTGAGAAACATTTTCCGATCAACTTTCCGCCTGCCTGCACTCGATTGTTTTTCGTGAAGTGTAATTCACAGCAATTACATATTATACATATTATCTAATTGAATCGAGCCAGACAAATGGCTTAAACAGCAAACATATTAAATAGAGAGAAAAAATACAAAGCAACCTGAGACTAGTGTTCTGGAAATACCACTAAAAACACGTCTGTAATATCTTTATCGAACGAGTTCACTTTTCATACTGATAGTTCCGATTAAATGACCGGACTGAATCTTATCTGCTACCAAAGCTGACAGTCTACTAAATTGTAGTACAATTATAATTACACACTAGCACAAAAAAATGTGCCAGTGTTTGCACTTTCGCTTCACTATACACGTTTATAAACAAATGCTTTATCAACAAAATGTTTGTTTTTACTGCCCACGTAATTGTCAATGCCAATGGATCTTGTAAATGCTGTATACAAAATTTAAGAGTGACTGCCATAATGTGTGTTATCAGCTGAATATTTGTTGTAAAGATAACTGCTGACTTTGTTTTTTATGGATTGTTCGGTGTTAATTAATGTTTATATTTTTTAGGACCTAAGAAGTGGGGCTTATATGCTGTAAATGTGTTGTTCATGTTATAAAGTTTAATTCGGCTTTTTGATTGCAGTGTAGGTCTTGCCAGGTATGTTTATAAAAATGTTACTGATATTTTTATAAATGAACCAAGAGCTTGGAAACTTAAAAAAAAATTATCAGAGATATTTAATTAGTCACTAAAGGTACAAATTTTCAAGGGCATGCATTTTTAGCAGTCTAGTCAATATTTTCACTCTTTTTTTAATTAAGTAACAATTTTGAAACTTTTGAATCCCAAAAGCACTGATTTTAAAGTACCTTCACTATTCCTCATACCGAAATCAGATCTTTGCAATTTAATTTCTTGCCGCACAGCTGTTTTGTGTTCCGGATTCTAAACACTTTATTTGTTTTAATGTTTTTCTATTTGTTTTACGATGCCCACTGACTTACCACATGGAGCAGCTCGAGCGTGGATTTATCAGCGGTGGGATCGTAGAGCTTGGCCGACGATTCGATCGCCGAGTGGGCGACGCACCAGATGAGAACCGCCGATGCAATTAATCCGCCCGTCATCGCTAGACAATGCCTTCGAGTGAAATGCGAACGCGGCATTTTGGTGGACGCTCTTTATACTCTACGGGTTTACGAGAATTTGTCAGGGGCTCGGATTCTCCGACTTCGCCGCTTTGGCCTTTGTTTCTACGGTCTACGGTCTCGGTCTCGGTTTCGTTTTTGGTTTTGGTTTTTTGGGGAGTCAACAGTCTCGAGACAGATCGCAGACTAACTTGTTATATTCGCTATTCGCTTGGTCTTTATTTACTTATTTGTTTTTTTATTAATTAAGCCACGAAACTAGCTAATTTACAGACGTGGTGGTAAACGGGTTTTTGCTCGGTGCCTGCTGCTCGACATTAATTAATAGCACTGGTTTCTCCGAGTGTAGGGCTACTATCTCCTATTTACCGTGGACTAAATACTAAGCTGATAGTATTTAAATTTTTCAACTTTTCCGAGGGTCGCACGCGACTGTCTTATGCTACTATCCGCGGCAATACTAACTTTGCGGGGGCAAATATCATTGAAAAAGTCGAAATGTGGAAAAAGCATGAGTGTTTGGCTCTTTTATCGTTCCATTATCGCCAAATGCTTTCGTCACCGCCGCTCTTTTTATCACTATTATTATTCTATTTGTTATTGTTGCAGCTGGACAGCGTCTATTGTGCGAGTGCGAGTAAATGTTTGACCAGAACAGAGCAGAACAGAAGCCCCAGACACGGACAACAATGCCGTAGCGTTTGAGGCGTTTTAAAACGCGGCCGCGACTTTTAATTTATATGAACTCTCGGATTTGCTCCGCTTACTTATTTTTTCTCTGGTTAGCGCTGCCGCCGCCCCCTCGCCGAAATACCAACGAATTTGTCATCGAAACTGCGTGTGTAAGCACTTTGGTAATAAATCGTTTAGCCTCCTGATTGAGTAATATTTTAATTTCACATTATCCATCCTCGTTGCTTAATTGCCGAATTTAAATACTGCTTTCGGGGCTGGGCGGGATCTGGTGGCTTACGTTGTCGTCATAGTCCGGAAGTTATTGCAAAACGATATCCAACTGGTAAAATTACATACTGCCCTTTTGTTGGGATTCGTTTGGCTTTTTTGTGATTTACTTCCGATTCGAATGAGTGGAGCCTCAAATGCCAACTGTTTGAATTTAAAATATATCCAACACTTTTTATATGATGGATGTTTGGAAATCAAAGGAGAGGGTCGATTGAGACGTACACGAGAAACGCAAGCCTTTAATACTACAAAGTATATTATAAGTTTGCTTAATTTTCATAAGTCATAAAGAATTTGATAAAATTCAAGATCGGAATTTTTATCCTGGTTTATATCAGTAAAAATGACTTAACTAACTAAATCTCGCGATAGCTTAACAGATTAAAAGTTCCAAGTAATGATTTAATAAGAATAATTTCCATAAACCAAGGTTCTGGAAGAACATTTAACGAAAACAGCGCCCAAAAGTATACTCCATATTTTCAAAAATAGAGCTAATAACTTAAAAGTGAGCCAATGTAAATCCAGCATAAGCCTAACAATCATAATTAATACCGTTTTTTAGTTAGAAAAGATTCAAATATCCTAGAAAAATAGCTTAAAATATATAGATTAAGTTTAATACAAAATAAATAACTCTTCAATCTGCCTTATAGAAACGAAGTCTTTATCGTTACTAAACTAGTTCAGCTTGCACTTACACTTTAAAAACTTAATTACATCTCCCTAGCGTGCGAGTCAATCAAACACTGGTATTAAAGGTATATATTTATATATTTATTCTTTATGTAATCTTAATACTGAACTCTGGATCATTAACCATTGGATTTTGCCCACTAATTATAGCTAATCTTGGCTCCCTCCTGAGTGCCCTTAGCCTTGCACAATTCTGCATAGGGAGCATCGGGAATTATGTCCTTGGTTAGCTTCACTAACTTTTCAATGGGACATTGTTTATCACAGCCTGGAATTTGTAATTGCTGAGGCTCTTGATCGGGATCATTTTGGAAGTAGATCTCCACAAAATACTCTCTCGTTTCTGCCTTTTGATGCAACTCAAAAGCAATTAAAGCTGAGAATCGAGGCATTTGAGCCTGCCAAACATCCAAAGCGGAGAGGACATTTGTAATGGTCCAATCGTGACCGCAAGATAGAAACATTTTGCGATCTTTGGGCTGCAACTTGCCCGAGATCTTGTCCTGCATTTGCTTTAAAAGTAGGTCGACAAAGAAGCCTCCTTTCATTTTGCGTAACTCGGTCGTATACGCATCGTAGACATAAGACTTGGCAGCCAAGGGCAACATCTTCGCCGGAAAGTAATCCTTGGTCCAAAAGGGCAACTCCAAGCCATATGTTTGCTCTGAGAGCAGTGTGATGAAAATACTGGTAACATCATGGACATAGGTGACATTGGTTCCGGTTAAATTGCTCAGTTCTTGCAGCAAATCGGAGTTATCGGCATGCAATTGTTTGACTTCAGGAAGATTTATAACCTCTCGAACTGCCTCATCGTATCGGGGGCAGGGTGCCTTCATTCTAATGCGCTGTAATTGCAATACAAATTAATAAATAAATAGATAAATATATTAAAGTTATTTTTTTCCCACCACATCAATTTCCTCGGGTTCCATCACAATGGGAATGGGCTGCCAGTTGAGCAGCAAGTTCCACTCCATCGGAGTGTTCTCCGGCGGAAAAAGTCCGGCCAGCACCATTTGCAGGGACATCAAGGTGCGCGGCGACTCCGAAGATTGGGCACGGATCATCTGCAATGGAAACGCTCTGGTTATTTTCATTTTAACCCCCTTGATCTTGCTCTACTTATCGTACATCGGGCTGATAGTAGGGTGGCAGGAAATCTTTATAGCGATGACGCAGTTGTTTGCCTATTTTATACAGCTCCACTTTAGCACCCTGTCAAATTGAAATTGCATTTAAATTCAGTTAATCTTGTTTATGTTTGTGCCAAGTACTCACATTGGTTAGTGCCCCCCATCCGTAGGGCTCAAAGGTTTCGTTGATATACGGATCGTTGGCATAAGTGCTGACGGGTGTGCGGGGGCCATGACGAAATAGCTGTCGAAAAATAAACATTTGGTTAAATCTATTTTATGAAATAAATTAGCAAGTACTTTATTGTCTTTTAATTAAATTATTTCCTCAGATAATACAATTTTCGAGCTTTAAGCTAGTCACAACAATAAATTATATAATTCTATTTATGAAATAAAAATATATATATACAACAAATAATTACTACTTTGCTTTTTAATTAAGCTCGTGCCAACGTTGATTTTAATAAATTAATATTCATACAACTTGATTTTATTCTCATACTTATTTTATTTTAATTGAGCTATTATTATGCAAATCAAAATGGGAAATCAGTGAATTGCCGCATAAGTTTGAAGTTTAAGTACCAATAAACCGGTTTCAGGTCTTAATGCAATATTACGTATACGCCATGCAAACTGGCTTAGGAACATTTGCCATGGAATTGTGTTAAAAGAGAACTTCAATGGTTTCTCAACGGAAAAACTAATTCTAATGTACTTAAGAGAACATAATATTTCGTCGACTTGGGCACGATTATAAAATTTGTCACCATATACTAATTGTTTAGATTAAATGAGTTTGACACATTTTGGATAATTTTATGGTCTGCTGACTTGCTTAGTTGCCAAAAGTTTAATGAGCCCCAATTTAGTTTGAGCTGATTTTTTTGTGCCACAAACTTTTTGGCAATTATTTTGCGGTAGTGGCGATTTTCACTTATTTACCACATGAACCAGCTTCAGGGTTGAGTTGCTTGCACTGCTTTCGGTTGTGTGTATATTACTGGGGTATTTAGAATTATCCCCTGGCCCCTCAGTAACTTCCTGGGGAATTTCTATATCTATAACACCTCCGCGAGCAATTAACACACAGCTCACAAAAAGTATCAGGCCGAAGAACTTTAGCATTTTCGCGATTTCAAATTTAAATTGAGCGGATCGTTAGGAATCAAGTGGACCGGCTTCGTTGGGGCTTGTGCGTTGAGTGACTGCATCAATAGACCTGCGGTCTGCTTATAAGTCTTGATTATGTGTTCACCCATACAGACGAGGTGGTATTCACACACCAACAGATAAGAGCGGCGAAGAGCGAACTGCTCAATCTGCGAATTCATCAACTACAATAGCAAACATTTCGCAAAAATTCAATTTAATTAGTTTCGCACGAAAATGATTTCCCCCGCCGTAAAAAATTAACTCAATTACCTTTATTTTTTGGGGGTTTTTATTGTACAGTATAATTTATAATATTCTTTTTTTTCACTACTCTTCGTCGGCTGCTATTGTAATACTGAGTGCACAAATTTCACTTTGGCACTGCGTGCTAGCTATTCTGATCGATTTTTCGCGGTGGCGGCTCCACGAAATTATCGTCATGTGGTCGACATCTCTGCTCTGCTGGATCGTTGGGCAGAACTTCGGCACTCAGTTCAATGAGACGACTCAGTGGACACTGAAGATCGCAGTCTTTCAGCTGAAGCTGCTCCAAACAGCCATACTCATCGTTACGGAGGAAAATCTGCAAATATGGAGGTCAAAGGATTTATTTGAGGAATATGACTTTGAGCAACATTAGTTCATTTAATATTTAATTTATCCTTCCAATGTGCTTATATTTTCATACTAATCTCTCAAAAACTTCTTAACGCGAATAGAAATTATATGCTGTTGTATATAAAAAAATGTTATCTTGAAATATATTTAATTAAATATGCTAGGACTAAGTAAGCATAAATGTCTCTAAAATTTCGTTGTCTTCGAAATACATATAGAATAAATTCGTCAAGAAAATGTCTATCTTGATTTTTTGTGTTTTATTAAAGCCAGACGACTTATCTTATATATCAAAACACATATTTAATTTCCCCGCATAAATTATAGCAATGAACACAATAGAAACTGAGGGAACGTGGGAAACTATTAAGGCACTGTTAAACAGTGTGAGCCCTTAAAATTTCTTACCTCCACATAATGTTCACCGGTTTCCTTATTCCGATGCGTCTCAAAAATGGCCATCACAGCGAACCTAGGCATCTGGCGCTTCCACACACCCAAGGCCATTAGAATATTACCCACGGTCCAGTCATGACCAGTATATATAAACATACCCCGATCCTTGGGCTTAAGACTACCATCTCTCTTGGCAACCATCTCTTTGTACATTCTCTTGAGGAAAGGTCCACCCTTGATCTTCTGCATCTCGGGCGTATACGCATTATAGACATAACTCTGCTCGGCCAGGAATTGCATACGCTCGGGAAAGTAATCTTTGGCCCAGTCGGGCAATTTATAGCCAAATTCCTGTTCAGCCAATAAAGTTATATAGAGGGAATTTATATCCTCGGCACTCTGAATCGATTTTCCAGTGAGATTTGTCAACTCGCGGAACATTTGCTGGTAGGGTTCAGTTTCGGCAATAACTTCCGGTAGCTTGAAAACCTCCTCGAGGGCCTCGAAATAACGAGGACAGGGCGTGCGAACCAGCAGGAGCTAAATACCAGAAGTTAAATTTAAAATACAATTAAGTTTAACAAGATTTGGGAATTTAAAGCGCACCGAATCCTCATCCAAGGGTTCCGATACGATTGGAATGGGTTGCCAGTTGAGGTGCTTATTCCACTCCATGGGGGTTCCCCGCGGCTCAAACATGCTGGCCAGTGTTGTTTGCAAGGACATCATGGCCCTCGGCGAGGCAGTGGCTTGAGCATGGAGGCGCTGTGTTAATTAAATGGCTTAAATACGGGATTATTTTATATTAAGGCTACTTACTTCTGGCCTGTAATAGGAACCCATGAAATCGCCGTAGCGACGCTTCAGCCAGTGACCCATTTCGAAGAGCTCCCGTTTTCCAGACTAAAAATAGAATAACAATTTTAAATTTCATTTCATTTTATTTTATTTCATTTCATTTTGTTGTGAATAAAAATGAACATGAGTCTTTATTCTTTTATTTTAATATATTTTTAAACTTTAAAATAAGTTTTGTTTTATTGATTCAATTGAAAATGAAAACACTCGAGCACTTATAAACACAAGCCTATATCACTTTGGGGAACTTTGGGTAACACATTATATAACAATAATTTTTCAAAATATTATGTAATATTTTATGTGGACACTTTTTAAGAATTTTATATGTGTTTCACTCACATTGGTCACATGTCCCCAGCCCGTTGGCTTGAAGCCATCGTTTAAATAGGGATCCTTGGGATAGGTGTCAACGGGAGTGCGAATGCCATGTCTGAACACTATGTGCACCAATTCCAGCGTGGAGTGTGTGGTATTGGGACTGGTCTTGTAGCACTTGGCTCTGGCTGGATTCTTCCAGTCAAGTTTTTCTGAGGACACACTGCTGTTAAGGATACCGATTACAATGACAACGCCCAGAAGGCCAGCTCCCAAACCGAACATCGTGAGTATTTGTTTACGTGTCCAGCGACCGAATATCATTTTGAGGCTGGATACCTTTTTATATCGATCGAAACAAAGCCGGAAGAGCCGATCTTTCGAACTTCCAAAAACGAGATTTGTGTGTTATTGATTTTTTTTTTTTTTGTGGCTTTATGATATTTATTTGCTTTGTTTAATTGCAGGTTAATTTTTTAACGATTTTTCCCGCTGCGGTTTCTTGATTTTTCGGTGAGCTGCAAGACGCGTGCAATCCACAGCGCGTCTGGGGTTAAAATAAAGCGTTGACAGCTTGATACGGAGAACTTAACAGAGAGATAAATCAACGTTCGTCTATTCGGCTATTTTTGCGTCAAGTGCTGTTGCTGCTATTGTTGCTACCGCTGACCACTTTCCATCGAACTCGGCTTCGAGACGAGTTCACAAGCCAGGCCTGCCAAGTTGAAACAGAAACAAAAAAAATCCCAACTAATTGGGCGTTTCTCATTGAACCAGGCAATTACGTATACGATGTGTACGAGCGTTTGCGGAACGCGGCTTTTCGGTAGCCACAAATCCACGAAATAAAGTCCCACCAACCCCATTTTACTCTATTTATAGCACTGGAACGCCCCCTCACATCCAGTTGCACATTTTTTTGCCAGTTCGCATGGTCATTATCTTATGTCAAATATGGGATATGCACTTCCTGACCATTACTAAAAGTAGTTCGTTTTCTTTTGACTCATAACTGGGTAAACTCATGCGCTGATTCACTGGATTTTTTCGATTTTAGTATATATTAACGGGAACTTTTTAATGAAACTACATTAAACTAATATTATTATTAATTTTTTTAGTTTCAAATTTGCAACAAACAGTCAAATAATAATTTTTTTAAATAATCAGTGTATAATATGTTGTACAAATTTAAAAATTTTTCTTCCGGTAAAAACAATAAATTAAAATATCAAGCTACTAAAGTTATTATCTAGAAAATTGACTAAGTATAGCGACAATTGAAAACAATCAAGTAAACATATAATTTTGATAGCAATTTAAATAAATCTAATCTTCTCTGAGATTGCTTAACGTTAATTTAGCAAACTGTATTTATTCTAAAGGTCTGGTTTAAGACAATTAAAACTGTGGTAGGTTAGTAATCAAATGGGGTGTGGATATTTAACTATGAGTTATTCATAACCCTTGAAATTTAAACCGACATTTTAACTCAGCATCGCCATTTTCACAATATATCGTAAAAAGCTATATCTTTAACTCCAAGTGGTTAGAAAAGTCAACAAATAATAAAAGCTTAATATATACGTACACATATATGTTTGCTTTGGCTGCACTAATTATTTGCCTTGTTTCACTTTGTTTACACTTGGTCTGTGGGGAGATAATAATTTTAAGCTGCGTGCTCGTAATTTTGTTTGTTTGAACAAGTTGTCGGGTTGGTTTTTATTTTTTCCAACGCCTGTCAGAAATTGGCAAATAAATGTGAGTAAAGGTCTCTATTTCGCTGAGAATATCTCTATGTTTGCTAAATGTTCGTTTGGTGTCACATTAGCTTTTATTTTGTTTGCCCGAGAGCTAATTAACCGGACCAGACTGGCTAAGTCCGTTGTCAGAACTCCGTGTTTGTCGATCGCTGCTTTGCCATGTGTCTAATTGTTGTCTAAAATGTTTTTTTTATGGTTAATTAATGACAGCGTTGGCGATTAACCGTTAACTGTGTCTTTGCCAGCTTCCGAACTATGCAATTAAAGGCAAAAAATCAAATAACAATGAGTGCGTTATGTGCTGAATTCACTACAATTTTGTGATTGTTTGTGACTTTTGACTGAATGTCTTGAACTTTCGTCTAGTTTTTTGAGTTGTTTCTGTTTCTGTTTGCGTTTGAGCTCAAATCAGAATCAATATAATTCATACTCGGACATAGAACATGGCATAATGGCAACTATCGCAATCGGCATTTGAATTGCATCAGCTGAAAAAGCGATTAACATTTTTTTCAGTCGAGTAGTGAAAATAAATGGCCTTGCTAACGTACTGGGAAAGTAAATTTCAAGTGTATTTGGATTAGTTCGTCGTACGGTCAATTTTAAGAATCAATTAATTGTTTGCTGAGTTTCATATTTGTAGCTATATTATTATATTGATCTCCTAGTTGACAATTTCATATAAACAATATTTCCCTGAATGAGCTTTTCCTTATGATCGATTTATTTTAATTCAGTTGAATTTTTACTATGTGTTTTATTAGAACTCAATTTAAGTAAATTAATATGTTTATGCATATTACGCAATTTCAGGAAAATTACTTTTTAAAATTTTAATCATCAACATGCGTGCTAAAAAATCCCAAGGCGAAAGTTTTTAGATTAACAAGCCATTTCTCTAAAATGTGAATCATTTTTAAAATCTTAAAATGTACTTTAAATTATAATGACAATTTTGAACTTAGAAATTGTTATTGAGTCTAATCAATTATTTATGTATTGTTTGCAGCAAATAGTTTTTTATTTGTTCAGTTTTGCTGATAACCGTCACAGATTATTATTTGTTACCTATACTTTTAAGCATTTCACCAGCACGTGTGTGCTACATCTGAAATTTATATTCAGATTGTTGAATGACTCTCCTAAGCCTATTTGCTAATGACTTTCACTGAAATTTATGGACACTGCACCACTGCAGAAGAAAAATAAAAAAACAAAAACCCAAAAAATATTTTCGAATAATATATATCTGGCTGGTCAGAGGTTGAAGTGGGCGGCATGGAATAGATGGGAGGATCACGTGCTAAGTTGGCCATAAAACGTTCACTAGACAAACAGGAAAAATGGGCAGCGCTTTTGGCGCTAAAGCGTCTTCGGGCACAGGAATCCATCCAGAAACACACATTAATATTTATCAGACCCGCAATTACGATTACCGACATCCCAGACAAACTATCCAGCAAATGAAAACGAGTGGTCAGGGGTGGAAAAACGGAGGGCCAGAGGGAAATCTAGGGAATTCCGCCAAATTGCCGGACAAAACGTTGCCGCGAATGCTTGGCTAAAATTTATTGATTCCGACGCATTGAAAATAGTTCTCGGTGGAGCAATTTCAAAGATTTGTACGACAAAAATTTTTTCTCAACGCTCTCCACGACTCCTCCTCACTTGAATGAATGTTTCTGGCTGTTCTTTTTTTACATTTTTGCTGAAATGGCTGAAAATTTCTAACTGACGGGCATAAAAATTCGAACACGCGTAGTTACACACACACACACACATAGGACGGCCCCAAAAAAGGGGCGGGGTTTGGTCTATTCAATGAGACAATGAGCGCCGGACCCGGGCATTCTGCGTTCGGGGATTACGTCTGGACCGCGTTTTTTGGCAACAATTTTTGAAAGGGGGGGATGAACCCGGGGATGGGTCAAAATGGGGGGCAATGGGGCAAAATCGGAAAAGCGGTGGCGAAAAATCGGGAAAATTCGGTGAGGGAATGGGCGCACTCTGTGTTGTCGCCTAAACGATAAAGCAATGACAAAAGTCAGCAGCGATTAAAGTTCAATTGGTGTGACCTGCCAATTGGCATAAAGGAAAAAGATTTCAAATGGCTGGCAAGTTGGCAAAATGTTGGGCAGCCGGAAAAGTGTTCGGGTGTGAAATGAAAAGTGGAGGCAATGGAAACGACGCGAATAAAGGATTGCTGTACAGATATGGCTGAAATTTGTTGAGTAAACAAGACAAATAGTTACTGGCCACTTGACACAAGGAAGAAACCTATGACTCTACACAACACGAAACTTTTAATTGCAAGTAAATTATTTTTATTTATAAGGAATATAAATCTAGTACAGTTTAATTGTAATACATTTAAAATAAATATGGAACGGACATTTGACAACTGAAAATGGCAAAAAGTTTACCTTTTAATGTGGATAACAAGTGTACTTATTCCTGTATATAAAATCAGATATTTTTCTTAAATTGAACATATAATTTATGTTAAAAATTGTTGATTTTCAATATTTTTGATGTCTGGTTGCCTTAAAAACTTTACGATAATGTTTAAGCAAATATTAAAGAAAATTAACTTTTATTTTCATAAATTTTATTTACAATGAATGTTTTTTCATGGTTAATAGTTTAAAATTCATTTGGTAACAGTAAATTCTAAATAGGGCTTTTGCTCAGATGCATAAAAATGAAGTTCCGGTTTTGGCAGGTTAATGTATGTATGTTAAAGACATGCGTGCACAAACAGAAGCCCTTATTGCCTGGCCTGATTATCGCATATTAATGAGTTTATTTAACTTTTTCGTTCCGATTGATGGGCTAGAGGGTGTGGGCGTGGCTATAGGGGGGTTAAGGCCTGGTTAAATGCGCTCATCTCATGCTCGGCGGCTGTTTGTGAAGCTTTTCACAGCAAATTACAACAAATTATACACATAATTACGCTTTAATGCTTGGCCTGCCCACGCCCCCAGTTTTCTGCTAACAAGACCCCGCCCTGCCACGCCCACAGCCGCCCATGTTCTCGTCGTGCAACGCATCAATGCAAAGTAAAATTGTGTGTAAAAAATGTGATAATTAACTTAAGTCCTTTGAGAATTTGCGGAACTTCCCGGGGAAAGGTTATGGCCTTATTCACACACATGCAAATGGAGATATATATAGGCGAATGCATGCATGAGTGTTTGTTTTTTTGTTTGTGCACATAAACTCATTGTCAGTTAATTATGTAAAATGTCATATATACACCTGCTCGTGCGTTTATGTGTGCTCATATTATGCGGACCAAAAGGAAAAATGTTGGCATAAAAGGACCTTGCTTTCACTTCAAAAACACAAACAGGCAACAAACGAACGCCCACGATTACACTACGTACCTATGTACATATGCATATTTGCATACTGCTGTGTGTGTTGCCACCGGAAGCCTAATTGTGTGGCTTTTGTAAAGGATTTTCTTTGGGGTATAACGATTTGTTAAGAGCAGTCAAAATTATCCTCCAAAACAATCATCGTAGATTATGCCATCATTTTTATAAAATATTACGGAAAAAAATTTTCTTTGAATAAACAATGATAGTTACTAAAATATACATATATAATTTATATTTAATTATGTTTAATTTCAGGACGACTTCTTTTGAAAGCCTTTTTCTGTATTATATATATTTACAATGTAGGGTATGGGTTTCACGATGTTTTCGTGAAATTAACACCAATTAAAGGCAACCAACGAAAAGTGTATGACTC